GCTGTTGGATGTCTGTGTTGATTTACCTCATTTATGAACAGTGGCTCATCGATTTCCCTAAAGAAAAGTGTTGGCCATTGATGATAAGATGGAAATAATAAAAGGGAGTTAAAGTGGTGGAAACACAGCTGATATTAGGAAATTAAATGGTGCCACATTGAACCTGGAATCTATGGCAATCCTTACCCATCCTCTTCAACCATTCCTGATTTGCAAGAACCCTGGTTGAAAATGGGGATGAGATGACTGATGTAAAAAGTGAGGATCCCCTCCAACTGACTTATGAAAAGCCTGAACCACATTCCTGAAGTCTCTGTTACTAGATACCCCCCCCCCCCCCCATCCCCCTTCCTCTGAACTTTTTGGTGTGTGAGCTGTAACTACACCATTCTCACAACCAACATTTGTACTTCTCTTTTGTATTAACCTTTCTAAGATAAGAATGCAGGTATTACTCTTTATTGTAATATTTTAAGAATATATATGGATATGGATATTTTGTATTCCTATAGGATATTGTGTTTCACTATTCTTTGTAAAGCTAAAAGTTTGTCTTTATATTTTCTATTTAGTTTCCTCTATAATTATCAATATGCAGGAAAAGATATACAATAATCTGAAGAATGTTCACTCACCACTTGTCTCCCTTTTTCAGGAATGTTATGGCTTGTGAAAGGGTGACTTCAATTACTATCATGGATGGCATACATTTAGAAACTTTTCATCGTAACTCAGTGGAATCCATTGATATGAAGGATGAGAAGGTGGAAGCCATCAGTCAGAATGATTGCCAGGATATCGATGAAGAAATTATTGAGGCTATCCATGGAGAGAGTACTGTCTTTATAAAGACTGAAGATACGGGTAATGTAAAAGGTGAGAGGCCAGCGTCTGAAGAAGTCAAAAGTCTGGGCAAAGAAGCAGTTGGTGAATGTGACTTGGGCATTGTCATGTGTGAAGATGTAGATCCATTATCTAAGGATTGTGAGAGCAAATGCTCATCAGATGATGTTCGTGAAGGGGATGAAGAGGCATCTAAAGAAGTGGATGCAGTTAAGAAACATTTCCTATGTGATGTATGTGGTATGAAATTCTCTTGTGAGGATAAGATGTTGAAACACTCAGAAATGCATAGAAAAGGGAAGCTCTTTATATGTGACATTTGTCATAAGTCATTCTCTCAGAAATCCCATATAGTATGCCACATGAGAGTACATACAAAGGAAAAACCTTACATTTGTGAGTTATGTAACAAGGCCTTTTCTGTAAAATCAACGTTAGATGGTCACATGAGAGTACATACAAATGAGAAGCCTTATAGCTGTAAGGTATGCAGTAATTCCTTTACATGGCAAAGTCATTTATTGAGGCACATGAGAATTCATACAAAAGAGAGACGATACTGTTGTGAGATTTGCAGTAAGGTATTTGTTGACTCCAGTAATCTCTCACGACACATGAAAATACACAAACATGAGAGGCCTTATGGTTGTGATATTTGCAACAAAGCTTTTTCTCAAAAAGGTAATTTACTGACTCACATAAGAACACATACACAGGAGAAGCCCTATAGCTGTAAAGAATGTGGAAAGGAATTTTCACAGAAAAAAGGTTTAGATCACCACTTAAGAACACACACAAAAGAGAAGCCTTATAGTTGTGAAATTTGTGGAAAGTCATTTTCTGTGAAATTTAGTGTGAAGAAGCACCAAATAGTACATACAAATGAAAGACCCTATGATTGTGAGATTTGTGGCCAGAAATTTACTGCGAAAGAATGTCTGGTAAGACACATGAGAAGACATACAAATGAGAAGCCTTATCAGTGTGACTTATGCAACGAGACTTTCATTACCAGGGCACATCGATCATACCACATGAAAGTACATACAGAGGAAAGGCTGTATACTTGTGAGGTCTGTAATAAGTCATTTTCATATAAAAAGGGTCTAATGTTGCACATGACAGTACATTCTGATGATAAACCCTATTCTTGCCGTACATGTAGCAAGGCTTTCAGGAGAAGGAATGATCTAGTACATCACCTGAAGAGGCATACAAATGAGAGGCCTTATAGTTGTAACTTTTGTGATAAAGCATTCCAATTGAAAAACTCTCTTTTGGCGCACATTAAAATACACACAAACGAAAAAGCTTTTAGCTGTGAAGTGTGTAGTAAATCATTCATTTCAAATAATAGATTGGTGAGGCATCTTAGAGTGCATTCAACGGTGAAGCCCTATAATTGTGAGATTTGTAGCAGGTCATTTTCAGATAAAAATTATTTGACAAAACATATGAGAACACACTCAAAGGAGAAGCCTTTTACCTGTGAATTGTGTAATAATTCATATACATGGAAACATGCTTTAATGATCCACATGAGAACACATGGCGATGAAAGGCCATGTGTCTGCGATATTTGCGGCAAGGCATACAAATATGAAAATACTTTACGAACTCACAAAAAAACGCATACCAAAGGTACCCAGGATACAAAGAGTGAAAAGGATATGGAGGATTCTCAGGATACAAAGAATAAAAAGGATACGCAGGATTCTCTCCATACAGAGACTAAAATGGATATGCAGGATTCTCTCCATACAGAGACTAAAATGGATATGCAGGATTCTCAGCATACAGAGAGTGAAAAGGATACACAAGATTCCCAGGACACCCAAAAAAATCAAAATCTATACCTAATAATGCTTCCTCCTATACATCTTATATATACACCCTTATCTTTACCCAATAATCCCCTGGAGCCAACTCAGCTGGCTGCCAAGGATGTATGCTGATAAAAAATTATCAATGTCATTCAAGACAGTGTATAAAGAAGAGAACCTGGGGACTAGACATAAATGTTTACATAGATTGATGTGTGTGTGGGGGGGGGGTGTTTGAGATTAAGTGTTCAAGAGTGTGCAAGATATGCAAAGTGTAAATATAAATTATCAATTTATAATGCAAATTGTCATATGAATTTTTGACTGCATATTCTAAATATACTGTAATAGTAAAATAAAGGTTATTACTTAGGGGTAATTGTAAATACATATTGTAATTGTAAATGTACAAGAAAGCAAAAACAGTGTGTTTATATTTCAACCTTTTGAGAAAAAAAACGTTATGAAGAACCATAACTCCCTGAAAGAGAGTGAAAGGGGGAAAGCAGAGAACAAAATGTAAATGAAGGAAGAGACAGAGAAAGGAATGAAGAGAAAGATAAAGTTATCTTGCTCGTTGTTGTCGTGGGAGAGCTTAAGAGACGGACTGAGGCCCAAGCAAGGGCCTCAGCCCTCGCCTCCACTAATTTTGCTTTGGTCTTTTCTTCTCCCCTTTCCTCTTCTCTACCTTCTTCATCCCCTTCAGCCATGCTAAAAGAATGAAAGGCTGGTTTTATGTCAGTCATGAATGGCCTCCGGGAGCCATGGGCACAGTATTCCCTTGGTTAATTACCTAGCCCTTACTCCTTATGGGGACCCTGAGGGGTAGACCATTTCTTCCCCCATTTTATTCAGGCTCACCATGGCCAATAATGAAGATTCTTAACCCTTAATAGGGGCATTAAAGCTTAACCTATTTGAATTTGATTGTGATGGTATTCCGACCCCTTCCCACTAATACTAAAACCCCCTCGATGCTTACTGACAACTTTAACCATTCCAAAACTCCCACCCAGGTTATTACTTTACCTCCAGAAAGCACCTCTTCCTCTCTGCCAACATTCTCCTCTCCATCTCCTACTGCACAATCCACTTCAATGTCTACCCCCTCTTCTCTTATTACTACTCTTCATCATTATTGTCCCCCCCACCTCCCCACAGAACTACTCTACTCCACACCACCTAATCGTCCTCTCGCCCTCGTCCTTCTACTGCCTCTACCTCCTCAAATCTTTTGATTACTCTCTTTGCCCGTCAATTATGATCGATTCTTTGTGATTTCCCCCACAGCCCCTTATTCTGAGAATACCCTTCTCTTACAACAGTACTCCAATACTTACACAGTTGACCTTATAGTTACATCTGAATCCCAAGCTCATCTACCCTACTGAACTGGGAAACCCATTCCTGTCGAACCACACCCCTCTCTTAATGCTTGTACTCCCCCAAATACATGTCCTATCTACCCCCACCCCACCCTTGACCGTTGTTGTGGGGGGGGGGGGAGCTTAGGAGATGGGGACTGTGACCCAATGCGGGGATCTTCCCTGCCTTGGGCCTCAGCCCCTGACTCATTTTGCATCGTCTTTTCTCCCTCCAGCTCTTTCGTTTCCGTCCCTTCTCCAACCCCTTCTACTATCTACTTCCTAAGGTGTAAGAGCTGTGCTGAAAGGATGAAAGGCTGACTCTATACCAGTCCTGAACGGCCTGAGGGAACTATGGGCACGGTATTCCCCTGTTTTATTTGTCTAGCCCTTACCCCTCAAGGGGCCCCTGAGGGGTGGACTGTCTATTTTCTTAACATAGTCAAGGCTTCCCATGGTCAGTAATGAAGATATAATACCCATATTTGAGGCAATGAGGCTTGCCCCTTCACCAAATAGTCCCACCAATTCAAACTCTCCCGGACTCCCCGACCCCAGGCTCTCCTTTGACCACGACTCTGAACACTACAACTACTACCCACTCCTCAATGCCTACCAGTGCATTACCCACCAAAGTCGAGACTCCTACTCTTTCAACTTCCTCAACTTTATTACTTTTACCCCCACAATCTTCTTCATCAAACACCCCATCCTCCCTTATTACTACCATACAACCTTATTCTCCATCTCTTCGTAATACTACCCCTTTCAACAATACTCCCCCTTCCACAAGTTCCCGTCCTTCCCATCCCTCCTACAGCTCCTTACTCTGGCAACACTCTCCTCTTTCAACAATGTCTCCAAGAGCAAGTGGGCCGAGTCCCCTTCCGTACCCGACCCGATCGTTCCCGTCTCATTACAGTCACATCTGAAACTGAAGCTATAGCATTATCAAATCTAACTGATTTCTCTGGCAACCCCATTCCTGTAGAACCCCATCCAACTCTTAATACTTGTACCGGAACTGTCTCTATCTCCCCAGCAAGCTGCCCTATGGATATCCATTGGCCAGATTGTGGAGAGTACTTACTCGGCTGCCTCAAAGACCGTGATGTGATGTCAGTACATTGCTACTCCATTCCTCTGAGAAGTCATCGAAAGAAACCCACCAACATTGTCAAAATTACTTTCCGTACACATGACCTTCCCTTTCGTATCTACATTAGTGGACAATCCCTCCCTGTTCGACCGTCAGTGTCAAAACTGTTGGCGTTTTGGTCATCCTGCCAAACACTGCCGTTCCACAAACCGAAGGACAGACAGACAAAGAGAAAGACAGATGGGGGGGGGAGAAAGAGAGAGGACAAATATCAGAGTACAAAGAGAGAGAGAGAGAGGACAAGAGTGAGTGAGAACGAAAAAGAAGAAAAGACAGACTGCTATACATACATATATATATATATATATATATATATATATATATATATATATATATATAGATAGATAGATAGTGAGTGAGAACGAAAAAGAAGAAAAGACAGACTGCTATACATATATATATAGATAGATAGATAGATAGATACTAAAATACTATTAATGAACAATTCATACGCAAATTTTAGCATCATGAACAGTTGACGGAAAGATTTTCAAACGGAAACGATCATTATCGTCTGACTACTTTTAAGGTTCTGTAACACTAGCATTTTTTTCCGTCAAATTTTTGACAATTTTCTGAAATTTTGCCATTTTTTTTTTAGCGAATTGTCGATTTTTCGGTCAGACGATAATGATAATTTCCGTTTTAAAACCTTTCCGTCAACTGTTTATGATTCTAAAATTTGCGTGCACTTATGAATAGTTCATTAATGATATTTTAGTATCTATCTATATATATGTATGTATATCTGTCTGTCTTTTCTTCTTTTTCGTTCTCACTCACTCTTGTCTCTCTCTCTCTCTCTCTCTCTCTCTCTCTCTCTCTCTCTCTCTCTCTCTCTCTCTCTCTCTCTCTCTCTCTCTCTCTCTCTCTCTCTCTCTCTCTCTCTCTCTCGTATTCTTTCACTCTTCTCCTCTCTCTTTGTCTCTCTCTCTCTATCTGTCCGTTCTTCCCTTCCCCGTTCTCCCTCTCTCGTACTCTTCCACTCTTGTCGTCTCTATCTATCTCTCTGTAAATATACATGTGTGCATGTATATATATATATATATATATATATATATATATATATATATATATATGTGTGTGGTGTGTGTGTGTGTGTGTGTGTGTGTGTGTGTGTGTGTGTGTGTGTGTGTGTGTGTGCGTATGTGAGTATATATATATATACATACATACATATATATATATAATACATATATATATATATATATACATATACACATACATACATACATATATATATACATATACATATGTATATATATACATACATACATATATATATATATATTGTATGTATGTATATGTATGTATATTAGAACATACGTAATATATATATATATATATATATATATACATATATATATACATATATATAATTATATACACACATGTCTGTCTTTCCCTCTCCCGTCTCTCGCTCTCACTCACTCTTGACACTCTCTATCTCTATCTTTCGCTGACCCTTCTCTTGTATTCTCTTTTTCTCTCTACCTTTCCCTCTCCTACTCTCTCTTGTACTCTCCTCTTGACCTCTCTGCCTTTCCCTCACCCCCTCCCTCGTGTACTCTCTTCCTTTCTATGTCTGTCTCTCTCCCTCTCTCGCGATCTTTCCTCTCGACGTCTCTTCATTTTACTTCTTTCTTTCCTTCCCCTCTATCTCTCTCCCTCTCCCCCCACCCTCTCTCTCTCTCTCACCTATTCATTCTCTCCATCTTTTCTCGCTCTCTCTTTATTCTCTACATATCTTCATTTAATCCCAGCCTTCTTTCTTTCTGTAACAGCAACAATATAACTACCCAAATATATCTCAGAATTACATCCTCGCACTTCACTGTTCGCGCGGTGTTTCCGAGCAATGTTCAAATGCAATCATAGGCAGAGGTAACCGCCTTTCCAACCAGCACTGATGGCAGCCGCCTGTCTAGCGATGAATTTCGCATATTTATCAAAGATAAATTGTTCCAACTTGCCACTACCGACCTCGAGCTAGCGGGCACTGAAAGGACTCGGGAAGGTAACACTTGTTCCTCAGACTCTCTCTCTCACCCCTCTTTGTCTTTCTCTCTTTCTATTTGTCCGTTCTTCCTTTCCCCCGTTCTCCCTCTCTCGTATTCTTCCACTCTTGTCGTCTCTATATATTTCTCCGTCTCTATCTATTTCTCTTGTACTCTCCCTCTTGACCTCTCTGCCTTTCCCTCTCCCCTCCCTCGTGTAATTCCTTTCTATGTCTGTCTCTCTCGCGATCTTTCCCTCTAGACGTCTCTTCATTTTACTTCTTTCTTTCCTTCCCCTCTATCTCTATCCCTCTCCCCCCACCCTCTCTCTTTCTCTCTCTCTCACCTATTCATTCTCTCCATCTTGTCTCTCTCTCTCTCTCTTTATTCTCTACATATCTTCATTTAATCCCAGCCTTCTTTCTTTCCTTTATTCATTCATTAGTTGCCTGTAACAGCAACAATACAACTACCCAAATATATCACAGAATTACATCATCGCACTTCACTGTTCGCGCGGTGTTTCCGAGCAATGTTCAAATGCAATCATAGGCAGAGGTAACCGCTTTTCCAACCAGCACTGATGGCAGCCGCCTGTCTAGCGATGAATTTCGCATATTTATCAAAGATAAATTGTTCCAACTTGCCACTACCGACCTCGAGCTAGCGGGCACTGAAAGGCCTGGGGACGAAGCGGAGCCACGCCTGGAGGGCTAAGCCAATTCTCGGCAGAAGATGGTTCCGCTTCTTTCAGCGATGACATCAGGAACTCGGGCCCTCCAGGGTTTACGCCGTGTGTTCCGACCTGCAATTAACGGAGAATAAACTTCCTTAATACATCATATGCTGCAAAATACCTGTTAGAGGACAAGGATATACGGAAGATGATTCATACGTACCACTATATACATGCATATAGACAATCCAAGGCCTTAGAAATTTTCATCTCGACCGGCCGGGTTCAGCAGCCAGGTGTCGCCAGAGGGCTTGCAGGAACGCCAAAAATCCGCCCAAATGGATCGTACGCGGAGTGGCCAACGGTCATCGCCTGCGTGTCAAGAAAAACGGAAAGGTTTCACTTCAGGTGGATAATCACCGAACGGCTCTGTGGATATCATTTCTCTGGTATTGACATTGTTGGAAGTGAATGCGTATTCGCTCGGAGATTAAAGGCCACCCCCCCCATACGGATATATTTTTTATCTTTATTTTATTTTACTTCATCTTATATTTTCTGTGTTCATTACTCTGCATTACTCCCCTATTCTGACCTGTGATAGTCAAGAACCTTCATATGTTTTTCAACTCCGTGATTCGAAGCTCTAAAACTGCCTTATGTGAAGGAGTGCACTGACATAACAGAGACGAGCTAATGAAATTGGTAAGAATGGATTGAGCTAAAATAAAACAGAGGAAGATACTTTTTAGATACTTTCTTCTTTCTTCATTTATAGGGTTTTAGACTTGTAGATACTTTAACGAGTGGCAAACGAAGCGGCGTAATTCTGAATAAAGACAGAATTCAATATAATAGATGATTGATATGGATTGTGTTATAAGAAAAGTGGTAGGTAAGGGAAAAGTTAAAAGTAAAACAGATAAAAAAACGAATATTCGATAACCTTTCTGAATCCGGTCTGCTTCCACGAACGTCAACAATGCAAGGAAGAAAACAGACGAAAAACATTTAATTTTTGTGTCTATAATATAAACGGAAGCCAGTCTATTGCTGCCAGGAGCATCGGCTTGGATTATTAAGCCGCAAAGGAAGATAGAATCGTTTGAACCGCCATAGTGATAACATCTATACCGGTTAAACATAAAAGAGAGAAAATTTTAGTGTATATATGGACGCTAAAAACATTCCAGACCCAGGAAAAAGTCCTGGAAAAGCCCAACAAATGGACTATGAAACTTTAAATAATAGAAGACGTAAAAACAGTGACAGTGATACAGAAACAAATCCACCGTCCAAGCAACACCGGAACGAAGAAGCCGGAAGGAACTTCATACAGTTTCAACCAGTAGGAAGCAACAACACCGAACCCAGAAATCAAGTAGGCATGAACAGAGATGTAATACTAATACAACTATCAGGGGAATCATTAACTTCAAATTTCAATAATCCAATCAAATTGACTAACGCATTAACAAATCAGAATTTCATAAATATATCATTGAAGACACACTCAGAGTCCTAGGGATTGGGAAGGCAATAAGATTTGAAATAGAAGACTTAAAAAAAATAAGACCACTAACAGAAATAAAAAAACTTGGACCATGGGAAATAACTTGTAAACAGCCTACATCAAGTATTAATACAGATTGCACTTACGCAACTATATATCCAGTTGAACCAGAACTGGATATGAAAACAATAAAAGAAAAGATAAGAACTATAAATGAAATCTCACACATCCAAGATGTAATAAGAATTAATAAAATCAACACCGATAAAAACAAAATTGAAAAATGGACTCCAACAAAATCATTAAGAATTACATTTAAAGGACCACTACCAGAGAGAGTTATAATTGGACACACATCCTACAAGACACAGCAATATACCTTCCCAATCCCGAAATGTTATAACTGTTTGAGATATGGACATGGGATCTTAACCTGTAAAAATAAAAAAAGATGTAGTAGATGTAGCAGTATTAATCACGAATTTAAAAATTGTATGAATGACCAATATTGTTTCTTTTGTGATGAAAAACATACACCAAACAGCAATGAATGTGACATACATAAAAAGCACAAGAAATCAACAAACAAAATTTTACACCAAATAACCCAGATATAAAGAAAAAACTACAACAACTAAAACCAAAATCAGAACAAACCACAAATCATAACAACAAAGACAAAGAATCCCAACAAGACAGCACAAAAATAACAAAAACAAAACATACACCACAGAGTAACACATATCCCAGAAACACAAATCAAAACCAAAACCAGAGTACACCACAGAGCTATGCACAAGCAATAACATCAACACAAAATGTAACACCAGGACAGAGAACACCTCCAAGACAAAAAATACAAAACACAGAGAGAAACCCAATCCAGTTCAAATTAACACCAGAAACAAATAAAACAAAATAAAACAGAACCAGTAAAACCACCAAACCACACAAACAAACCAAAAAATACAAATACAGAACAATCGCCAGTAACATGGACTTTACCCACACCAATAACCCACTCCCATCATCCAAACTCAAGAACTACTCCTTTAACCCAAATACACCATCACCCATCACCCGTGCCAAACACATACACTGAAAAACAAAAGGGAAAAAACAAAAAAGAAGAAGAAGAAGAAGAAGAGAGAATTCAAACTGGGTAACTACCACAAAAACTATAATCAATGCAATAACAAATTTGATAAACAATATAAATTCAAAGAAATCCTTTTTAGAAATAATAATTGAAACAACAAAAGATTTTACCCCAATTTTAAAACAAATAATTAGATTAATAAATGAATAAAATAATTCTATGGAATGCCCATTCTATCCATAGAAAAAAATCAGAATTAGATTATTTAATCTATAAAGAAAACCCAGGTGTAATCGCATTATGCGAAACTTGGTTAAAAGATAAAGATAATTTTAAAATAAATAATTATGATATAATTAGGAAAGACAGAAAGAATCAAATTGGTGGGGGTTAATTTTAGGCATTAGGAAAGACGTGCAATTTAAAAAACTAAATTTAAATGATATGTACCAACATAGGATAGAAATCCTAGGTGTAAAAGTCCAATATAAAGAAAAATGGCTAAATATGATATTAATATATAATCCTTGTAATAATATTAGAGAAGAAGAATTTCAATACTATTATGATCAACTACAAGACCCAAAATTAATAATAGGCGACTTCAATGCACATCATCCAAATTGGAACACAAATAACAATAAATTAAATAATGTAACAGGAAAAAGTTTAGTCAAATTGATAAACCAAAATAATATTATACTCCTAACACCAAAAGGACAAATAACCAGAGTAGATCCAATAACGAATAAAGAATCTACATTAGACCTGGTTTTGGGATCACCGACGATAAATCATTTTGAAATTACAACAGGCCCACACCTAGCTAGCGACCACCTTCCAATAATCATAAAAGAAGACAATTATCAAATAAACTCAATAAACTTAGAAAGAAAGTGGAATTTCACAGAAGAAGGATGGCAGAGATACATTTCAGAACTAAACAAAATAAATGTAAATATAGAGACGATGAAAACACTGTTAGAACTGTTAAAAAAACGGGAGAGAAATTTTTCAAATACAGTAATAAAACAATAAATAATAAACCAAATAAACCATGGTGGAATAGCAAATGTAATGAAATAAAAAAGAAGAAATAAGGCATATAAATAAATGGAGGAAAAGACCAAGCATAGAGAACAGACTAAATTATAAAAAACTAGTAACAGAAGCAAAACATGTCATTGAAATAGAAAAAAGGAATTCATGGGAAAAATTTTGCATCTCTATAGACTTTAAAACCCCCACAAAAAAAATATGGAATTTCATAAAAAAACAAACAGGAAAAATAACAAAAAGTAACTACCCCCTGATATATAATAATTTCCCAGTCACCCAAATATCAAAAAAACTAGAACTATTTAGGAAAGAATATGAAAACATAACCAGTAGACAAACAGAAAAACTATTAACAAGAACAGAAAAAGAAGAAATATTAAATAGTAACAATGAGGATGATATAAATAAAGACATAACATTAGAAGAATTAGCATACGCTATAAGGAATACAAAAAATGGGAAAGCATATGGGCCAGATTGTATAACATATGAATTCTACAAAAATGCCCCCCCAAAATAATAGAAATAATTTTAACAAACTTTAATAAATATTGGGAATTAGGAAATTACCCACAAGAACTAAAAACAGCAATAATTAATCCAATTTACAAATCAGATAAAGACCCATCCAAAACCAACTCATATAGATTTATTAGTAGAACACCATGCATAGGCAAAATTTTTGAAAACATAATTACAAGAAGATTAAACTGGTGGATAGAGAAAAATAAGCTAGATGAAGACCTAATAGGCTTTAGACATAATCGAAACACAATAGATGCAATACAGATAATCGAAATGAAAATCAGAGAAGCAATTAAAGAAAAAAAATATGCCCTAATAACATGTCTCGATATAGAAAAAGCATTTGACTCAGTAAATCATGAAACTATCCTTATAAAAGCAAAAAACATAGGATTAAGCGGCAAAAATAATAAGATGGATAAACAATTTCCTATGCAATAGAACTTTTCAAATTAAAATCGGAGAAAAAAAAATCAGCTGTCGGAAAAATATTAAATGGAGTCCCACAAGGATCTCCAATCAGCCCAACCTTATTTAACTTAGTAATGTCAGACATAAAACTCCCAAAGAAACTGATAAAGTAATCTATGCTGATGATATAACCTAATAACATCAAACGAGAATCTAGTAGAAGCAAAAAATAATTTAGAACAAAGTCTAAACAAAATAAAAGAATGGGCAGAGAAATGGAAACTTAAAATAAATCCAACCAAGAGTAAAGTAATGTGCTTCACAAATAAAAAACTAGAACAAAATCCAATAATAAAAATAGGAAACGAAGAACTAGATACACAAATATTCATAAGATATTAGGTATGATATTCGATGCCCCAAATTAACATGGAAAAAACACGTCGAATATGTAAAAACAAAATCGATGAATAGGATGAATATTATGAAAAAATTAACCTCACTGAGTTGGGGAGCAAACAGAGAGACATTGACAAAATTCTTTAATATATATATAAAACCGATTATAGAATACGGAGTAACAATATATAGTGGAATAAACAAAAATGAATCTAAAAAATTAGAACAAATTCAAAACTATGCACTAAGAATTGCCACAGGATCCCTCAGATCAACTCCAATAATAGCACTGCAAACTTTAACAAGTCAAATGCCAATAACAAATAGGATAAAAGAATTAGAATGCATTCAATTGATTAAAAATTTAGAAAAAGAAAACCATCTACCAATAAAACAATTATCCATAAAATGCATAGAAAACTTCAAACCGAACAAAGACAAAAAAACACTTCTATATAAAGTTATAGAAACATGTAAGAAATGGAAAGTAAAACTAAAAGTAGACACAGTCCCTAATATTTCCCCAATCCCTCCATGGTCTGACATCATAAAAGACATAGAAACAAACTTCATGGAAAACATGAATAAAAACACACCACATCAAATGATACAACAACATTTTCACTACATAGAAAATACAATATACCAAAATTACCAAAAAATTTACACAGACGGATCAAAAATAAAAGAACCAGTCTCAACAACAGCTGCCATATATATACAAAATAAAAACATTACAACCTTATGGAAATTGCCAAACAATACAGAAATAATAGAGGCAGAATTATTTGCAATAAAACAAGCACTAATTTATATAAACAACAATAAATTACAGAAAACAGTAATATTAACAGACTCACAAGCATCCATACAAACAATAAAAAACTACAAACCAAGAAAATATAAACATATGACATATGAAATACAATCATTGCTACTATTACTAAACACACAAAAGCAACAAATAAAAATACAGTGGATTCCTTCACATAAAAATATAAAAGGAAACGAAATTGCAGACAAAGCAGCAAAAAAAGCTCATGAAATTAGAGATCCCATAACCATGACACAAAATTCAACAAACACAATAAGAGAAATAAAAATGAAAAAACAAGAAAACTGGAAAGACAGTTTAAAAGAAATACTAAACACAAAAAATTATCTAATCAAAGATCACAACCCACAACCATGGACAAGATCACAAAACAGAAAAATAGATGACCATTGCAAGACTTATGACAAAACACACAAGACTTAAAAAACATTTACACAAACTAAAAATAGAAGCAGACCCTATGTGCCGATGGTGTAGTAACCAAGAAGAAACGCCAGAACACTTAATATTACAATGTCCGAGATTTAATTCATACAGAACAAAATTAATACAAGCATTGAACAAAATAGAAATACAAAACCCTGACTTAAATTTATTAATTACAGGAGCAAATCAACATCCTGTGAAGAAGTATTACATCTTAAGACATACAAAGATATTTCTACAAAGATCAAGAATAATAGATATTATCTGAAGATAAAGAAAAACCGCAAGAAAGGATCCAGGGAATATAGACTAAAAAAATGGTCTAAAACCCTATAAAAGAAGAAAGAAGAAGAAGAAGAAGACGAAAAACATTTAATTTTTGTGTCTATAATATAAACGGAAGCCAGTCTATTGCTGCCAGGAGCATCGGCTTGGATTATTAAGCCGCAAAGGAAGTAAGGAACTTTATAATATTAGGAAACACAGAAGAGACAAAGAATAAGAGACAAAAATCTGGGGCAAAATGGAAAGATAATGGTAATTTTACACGGTGTAAACTGTAGAGTTTAATTGTCTGATTCTAAGCATTTATTGTGCTGGTTTTATGCATTCTTGTTCTCTATTCTTATTTCGGTCTGTTTTACTCCATAATTTCCCCGATATATTTCGTGCTTTCCCTTACTTGAAACGTCAAGATTGTCAACTGTGATTGTTACGGAAAAGAAAATGATCATCAGATTCGTTCTCATCATACGAGAATAAATCTGATAATAGATATTGTTCGAGAAGCCCTAATGGCCACTTTTTCAATAGCATCAATAAAAATGGTAGTAGAGAAGATGTGTTGTAGATAATCATTTGACAATAGAAA